CCCCCCCCCCCCGAAACGAAATCCTGGCTACGGGCCTGTTATGGGCCCATCTACATGGACCACATATCCCAAAGTGGGTGAAAAGTCAATCTGTAACATCCTCATGATACATGGGGCCTTTTAATGCAGATTTGCCCCTTTTTAGATATAACTCAGGAAAGCTTTGGAGCTTACTTGAATGGAGCAGGTGTATGAATGGTGTGTGTATGAATACCTGAGCCAGTTCTGATTCAAAATTAGCCCCATTGTTCTCATTGACCACTGTCACCATCCCACTTTTCCCATGCTCTACAGCATGGGGAAAAATGGGATGGCACTCACCTATTACACTGTTCAATGGAGAAAAAGTTACGGGCCTGAAAATAGCTGTTCTTTTATGATTTTGGGGTGCTGAAAACGAAAATGACATTTAAAAATGTATAATGGCTCTAGTTTTTATGATATAAGCAATCATGTGATCACATATGGTTGAAAAAATTCATGTTGCGACTTACACTATGGAAGATTCTAGAATACTCTAGAAAGTTTGATGACGCAGTATTAGTGCCGTGTGCAAAATCCAGAAAGCCCTATATAAGGCCAGACTTTTGAACGGTGAGGGTCAGTCAGTTGAAGACTGAGACAGTCTCGTTAAACATCGTTTTACATTGTTCTTTTCCCTGTCGTTATGCCTCGCACGTGTGTAAATAAAGCACTATGGAAAAAAGAGATCAAGGCAAATGGACTCTGTCAATGCTGTCAGACTCCTGCTGGAGCATTGTAAGAGACAATCCTTTCCTTGAATACAAAAGAAAAGTCAAGAGAAGCAAACAGGATATAAACTAAAGTCACGATTAAAGCGACATTTACACTTTCAGACTTTTCAACTGCATTAGGACAACTAAGATAGTTTCTTGCTGCTCAAATATTAACAATAGACTAATTAAATAAATATTTCTCATGTATAAAGTATTGGCAATATAATTTGACTAAAATTTAGTAAATATTCACGGTTTATATACATGCAGTAAGGTTAGGCGCATTATCATAATATTAATGAATTACCTATTGTGGAGAAAATTGAAATAGCTGTTGCATAAAACCAGAGCTAATTAACACATTTAATTATTTATATTTGAATTCAGCATGTTAAATTTATTAAGAAACGGCACATTTCATTTCCGAAACTGAGAAAAACTCAAAATTTGTAGAACAGTGTTATCAGTTTTTGTCACTGCTATAGCAACCATAGAGCTCTGAAGAGCTCCTGGCTATCACTTGGTACCTTCGCCAACATTGGTAAAGGCACTGACAAAACTTGGAGAAGGGAGGGGGTTGTTCTTTACTCCCCTCCCTTGTCCAAATTGCCTGGACATCCTTTTCTGGCATTAACAAAGGTGCTGAACAATGGCCAGGAGCTCTCAGTCCATGACCATCATTATGGTGGCAAATAATGACAAAGGTAAGGATGACTGTCCAGTGGGGCTAATCAGAGTTTAGCCCAACTGGACAGAAGAAACTCTTCTCCTGCCACTGACACAATTCAGGAGAGGAGACATGTAAACCCCATGGCAGAATCAGGTGCTGGTTCAAAGCAGCAATAATTTGGACCAGCCCTGGATTTTGTGGCCTGCATAGATGGGCCTTATGACTCTGGAGACCAGGGTTTGAATTGCTGCTCAAGCAGGAAAACCCATGGGGTAACCTTGGACAGGTTACATTCTCTTTGCCTCACATAGAGAAAATGAATAAATAGTGTATTAGGGTACATATTTATGGTATTATGTCAGATGCTCGACAACATCGTTTTGTGTAGATCACGAAGATTTTTTTTTAAAAAAAATCAATAACGTCATAAAAATGCAACATAGAATTGTGTTGGAAACTTTTCTGCTACAGTTATTTGATTTGTTTTTGTAAACTTTACAACTACTTGAGGATGAATGCTGGCACTAATAATGATCACTGATAAGCTACATAGAATTCTTGAGAAGAATTAAAAAAATTCCTAAACCTGGATATTCTGGATGGGAGATTGAATTGTGAAACATATTAGCAGCCCACTGTGGATCTTATTTCTGGGTAAACACAGATCAGGCTATCACTTTGTTACATTAAGAAAAAATAGTTACAAAATCTGTCCAGGATCCTGTTGGAGACTTTTGTCTGTATAAATGGATTGGCAGATGCAGAAATTAGAATTGTACAGTTGCATAACCTCCATATCCAATAGAGAGTTGTTATATTATTATGTAGCAGAGCCAGCAAATTGCCCAATGCTCACTGGTGCCCGAGGCACAATGGGACCAATGCATATTGGTCCTGATCTGCATCATGTCCTAAAGTACATTTGGCACCATTTCACTTTGGGCTACCTTCCTGGTGAACCATTACATATCTTAGCAGTTCAGTAAAAGAGTCTCTCTGCACATTTTCTACATATCTAGGTTTACGTAAATTAACATAATTTTACAGACAATGTAAGATTCTGGTATGTGTTGTCACTGAAATGATGTTATTCTTGTCCATTCCCCTACCTAGGATGTCACTTCTCTTATCTGAGTTGACGTCTATCACAGAAATACTCACAGTCATTTCCTCTTTTCTAGGACTCGGCAATCAAGAGTACTGGAGCAGTGAATACCCTGAAGTTTCAAAGATGAAATGTAGCTTGAAACTGTACAATCCACAGCAGTGTCTTTCTGGTTTGACCTGGGATTTCCATGGGCTTCTTTTCCAGGAAGATGACATAAGGGGTCATGTGCAAGTCTCAAATTACTCTCTCACTTCTCATGTGACTCACAGAGGCCAGTTTCAGGGCTGGTTTGAGCAAAAAGATCTACCAATTTTGACACAGGTAGATGCAACTCTTTTGGAAATGAGAGGGGATTCCAGTAATGCACACCAAATTTTCTTGACCTTCTTAAACTTTTCTCTCTTTTTTTACATTGCAAGATTTACATGCTTTAAATGGTGCTCATGAGTTATAGTGCAATATACTGAAATGAGAAAGGGAGAGGCTTCAATTTTTCTCCCAAATGACAAGCTATAACCATGAGCCAATGCATTTTTCTCAGCTTTCTCAGAACACCAATGAACACTGTTCAAATCATAGTCTTATGAAGAAGGCAAAACTCCTCATATGCCCCTGCCATTACCCCATGGCTAATCAAATTGTCTCTAAAGTACTTTATGACATATGGAACACTTCCCTAGTCTTGCTGAATTTTGCAGTATAATATTTTTGTAGTAGGTTTTTCGCCCATCTTCTATGAAAATCTTCAAGGCCTTGTTCTTTAACGTGTGTATTTTGCCCATTTGTGGGTTCTCCTGTCCTTTTGTGGGTTGAATTATCCACTTCTTCCAGCCCAATATTGATATCAGCACAACAGAGTCTGTTTGGCTACACAGATTGCGGGGAGGGTTTTCCATGAGAGCATATTGTTTTCTGCAACAAACTTCATGGGCTCCAATCATCCCTTCATCTGCCCTTTCAGTCACAGCTGTGTTTGTATCACATTTATATGTAAACATCTGCCATGCCCCTTCCTGTAGGTGAGAATTTAGAAGTACATGTTATTAGAAACATTAGAACCAAGAGGGCCAATCCATCCCGAATACAGACTGTTGCCAGATGCATCTTATGTGAACTCTTTCTCTGTGCTAAAGCTAGTACAGGGTGAAAGATTTCAATGTTGGGAAATATGCCATCCCTCCTTAATTTTTAAGTTTTTCACTCAGACGATCCAGAGTACATGACCACTGTGAGGGTTTATGTGAATTGTAGTACAAAAGACAGAGGGCCAGAGTTCCCCACTCCTGTTATAAGAGCAGTTTCTTAAACCATCATATGCAGAATATAGTGCAAACTAATTTTCAGATTTGCTGTTAAATGAATACATGATTGGAGCCATGCCTTGCCACACACACCATATCCTTATATTCTTTGATGCGTTCATGCTTTTTCTTACATGAACATTACATTCACATAAAACATATTATTGCTTGAAGCAGCATCAGATTTCAAAGTCTGAATCGGCCCTGGTTAGTACTTGGATGTGAGAATATCAAATGCTGAGTGCTATCTTTCAGGGAAAATGGACTGACTAACCACTTCTGAGTATTTTCTGCCTAGGAAAACCCCCTATCAAATTCTTGAGGTTGCCATAAGTGAAGACTTGAAGGCACACATACACACACATATACACACACACGTGTCAGTTCTGTCTACCATATTTTTAACACAGTTTGTTGTTATTGTATATTTTCAAATCATTTCCAATTTATGGAGACCTTAAGGTTTTCTTGCCAAGATTTGTTCAGAGAGTGTACAATTGGTATCATTTTAGTGTATTTATCTTTCATTTGGACTGGACTTGTTTACTCAGGAAATTTGCTCTTTTAGGATAATTACACTCAGGATAACTGCACCCTTGGCTCACAAGCTAGATTTTTCCAAATTCATGCTTGGTGCTGGTCAACTAAGGGTTGATGTATACCTTGTCTGACTTAATCCTCATTTAGTTGAATCAACTAATATTAGGCAATTTGGAAATAATTTTAGATTAAATCTTAGTGAAATGTCCTCTCAATCTTTCTAATTTGTAGTTGGTTTTGAAGCAATTTTTAAAAATCTATGGCAAATTTGTGATAAAACAAAGCCTTCAGACAAGACACTAGAAGTGAACTAGAAGTGATCCCTAGCATAAAAGAGATCTAGCACTAAAGGTTATTGCATTATCACAGTATTTTGCTACACATCATCTCAAGGGTAGATCAAAGCTCATAAATTTTGCGCCATCCTCTGGATCCCATGTTCCAATTATTTTATGGTTATAGAACCACCCATCTAATTCAGTGTCCAATTGGCTCAAACGAACAACTATGTTTCTTCTTTGTTCTTTAACTATTAGACAGCTGCTTATATCCATCTTTCAAATACAGTGGATCCTTGATATCCACTGGGATTTGGTTTAAAGGCCTCTTTAAATCAAAAGATCTAGAGATCAAAATCCTTGGATCCTCAAGACCTATTATATACAATGGCATATCAAAATAATATCCCTTATATAAGATGGCAACATCAAGGTTTTTAAAAAAGATTTTTAAATGGTGGATAGTTTAATCAATGGAAACAGAACCAGTGGATGCAGAGGGCTTACTGTAATTGGGCATCTTGGTGCAAACTAGGTTTTTTGCATATTTCCTTGTCTGCAACATTTTTTCTGATTTGAGGTTTCACAAACATTAACTCAGGCTTAGAAAAATCTGCAGGCGGGTATCCTTTGCCCTGTGGAGTTTTTAAATTTGCTTTGCAATATTTTGGTGCTAAATATAGGGAGTTCTTTAATTTATTAACCTTTAAGAGATTGACCATGAACCAAAACAATCTATCAAGGTGCTGTCAATACAGAGAATTCATGTTTTGCTGACTGCAGTACTATTTTTTGAATTACCCGTGTTTACTTCAGGTTTGGTTATCCTCTTTTAAAATGCCCCAGATCAATGCTACTTCATACAGGTGAAAGACCAAATAGAAACCCAACATCATGGTACTACAAACATGTTCTAAACTGCACTTAACAGCAACTGCTGTATCCTAACTTGTACCTTTTCTTCCTGCCAATGACTACATGTCTTCTGTACCAATATCCAAGATGGAAAATGTTTGTCTCTAGAATATGAAGTAGTCATCAGAGCTGGTCTCTGTGTTTTAAATCTTATGCCCTATCAAGGTAATGTGATGAGTAATCCTTCACTGAAGACTGTGAAAGACCAAGAGGCAAGAAACATCTTAATCTAACCCTTCATAAATCCTAAGTCTTGCCACTGATTTCATGAAGCCTCCATCTCACCCTTCTCAGAATACTTCAAAGAACTATGTCCAATGAAAGTATTTATGGTGGAAGGATTAATGTCACCAGCTCTCAGAAGGAACTATTTTTAAAGTTCCATGTTGAAAACATTAGAACTCTTCTTCCCTTTTAGTGCTGCAAAATTTTGGCAGTATCATCAATCCCCATCTTCTGTGATGGAAACCAAGATTCTCCGTGTATTGAAATGGCACCAAATGGCTGCTCTATAGCTGATGTGCCATGGAGGTAATCTATATTGGCTCAATTTTCCTTTGCAGATTTTTTTAAAAAGCCTTTTCAGTACTGGGGATCAATAACCTTATTTCAAACCAATAAGTCCTCATAAATATTGTATTTTTATGTTATGATGAAATGGGAGAAAAATAATTAAATGTGGGTCCAGTTCTATGCATGTTCACTTAGGAGCAAGGCCCACTGAATGATGGCAGACCTTGCATCCAAGAAAACATACACAGAGGTTCTCATTTTTCTGATTTTGGGAGAGCCAATGCACCATGTGTCCACATTTTATGTGCTGCAAGTTTACAATATGGTATCTGTGCATCTATGCAAATACTTGAATAATGCAGTTTGTTGTGCCTTTTGCTTAGTTATATTTAATAAAAAAATCTGGTTTTTATTGCATGTGGGTTGTGCTTGTGTTGGGTAATGAGGGAGACAGCTTGAATTACTACTCACTACTTCCTTGTGTTATTCATCATGCAGATTGTCCCCACAGATAGGAAATTATGGCTTGGTTGCAAATTTCTGTTGCCACCAAACCCATGTAAGAACATAATGATTTTTGTTTGCTATACTAGCAGAGGATGCTGCATTTTGTAGGTTGGACACCGACAGTACACATTGTAGGGCAATAGAAAAGGAGCAAAACAAAATAAAACAGAGGCCCACTTTGAAGAATTTATAGAAAACAATCTTTATTCTTCCTCTCAAAGTATAAATAAGTCGCACTGAAATGTCATATAATCAAAACAGGGTGAGAAATCCCACTCCCCTTCACAAAGTTATACTGTACAATTGTAAGATACATTCATTGGCAAATTTTAACAGCTGTTTATGGACAATGAGGAATGACGGGCATATGTCACCAAGTTTGAACTCTTGTTCTTTCAAGTGAGTAAAGTTTCCATTTATCCTTTCATCTACTAAAGATTCCTCTTCACCTCTCTTGTCCAGCCAGATAGATTTTGTTAGCCAAAGAAGATGGCATGCTTGCTAAAGCTGAGTTGTCTGACTGGTAGTAACAGTGGTGTAGATTTCTTTTTTAAAACCCCACTACTACAGCATCAACATAACATTGGGGCTTCTCTTCCATAATAACACATTTTCCCATGATGTGAAAGCCTGCTCTCAAGTCTACTGTTTCCCAAAGTACAGTAGGATAGTATAGTTTGAGCATGTGAGCTATTTTTCTAAATGTTAAGGCTACTATCCCCTTCTGCACTAAAGCAGTGGTTCCCAAACTATGTCCCTCCAGGTGTTTTGGATGTCACAAAATGTCAACCATCTTGGCCAACAGTTATGATTTCTGAGAGCTGAAGTCCAAGCTACCAGAATGACCAAAGTTTGGAAACCAGTGATTTAAAGTGATGAGGAAGGGAAAAGTGTACTGAAAGAGAGAGTTGAACCTGTTCTCTAAAGGCCTGTGAACTAGACAGCTTATATTAAAAACACAAAAACTAAAACCTCTCTTGGTTCATAAGCCTCTTGATTTTGCATATGACTGACCAAATAAACTTTTATTTTCTTAAAAATATATAATTCCCCACATTCAAAGACGTAATGCTGATGACAGACATTTTCCAGTTTCTTGGGCATCCAGACTAAGAAAAAAAAGACTTTCATTGACCAAGAAAAGGAGTTAATCATTCAGGAAGCTTATGATCAAGGAACGCAAACCTAAACTCATTCAGCTTATCATCACACTGACTTTGCAAGTTTGGATCCCATTTCACACTGCTGTGATCATAACAGGGATCTGAGCCATGCAGAAAGGTATTTTGGTCAATGTACATATTTCTATCGTACACGCAGTTTATTAACATTAGGAAGTTAACATTCCTATCATTGTATGTCATCCACTGCCTAAAGAAGGCATCTAGAAACAAACATTCATAGTCCCAATTTTCATATCTTATTAATAACAAATCAGTTTGGTTTTTGGATATTAAAACTTAGCTATTCCATTAAAATGTGGTATAAAATAGACCTGAATCCTAGTGATTATTCCTAATAAGAGTTGACTCAAATGTTGAATGGTTTATCAAGACATGGAAAAATTGTATTGCTTGAATGGGCCATCTCAGGTTGAGACTGACATTAGAATTCATTATCTCCAATCAGAAAACAGAATATTAATACATAGTGGAAGCACTAATACAGAGGACTGTTTACAGTGGATGCTCCTCTTCTTATTCTATCACTCCAGTATTATGAGAGCCCAACACATATCCTTCCCACACAATCACTTTAAAAGGCCAAGACCACATAAAGGGCAGTCAAATGTGGTGGTAATCTACTGTTTCTCAAGGGTTGATGCTCTCTACCATTGGCATAATTGCAGTGTGGTCTCCTTTTCCATAGTTGAGGGGTTCTCATGTTATGCTAATAGCTCCCATTCCACCAAGGTAACATCTACCAGTATATTGGACTCAAGTATGCAACTGATTATATTGAAGAACAGCTGGCTTCACCATGTTATGGTGAAGAGAATCTTACCACATCTATTCTCTCAGAAAAATTGAGATGTGGGAACATGGCAACAGTCTTACTATCACACAAGTGAACACTGCAGACAGCTGCTTATTCACATGGTTGTACATGCCATGATATTATGACAAGATGCTAAATGGCCATGCAATGCACTTCAGAGTTTTACACAGACACAAGATATCACACACATACATTTTGAACATGAATGCCAGACCTCAATCTAGTCTTATCTGGTCAATCACAATGAACATCTGGATATTAACTGGCAAGCTGAAATACAACTCAGAATTATTAACAGTACCCATAATGGGTTAACCTTGACAGTTTCAGAAAAATCATTCACCATCAGGAAAGAACACCAAAGACAGAAAAACTGAATCTATGAATGCAGAAGCAGTATATACTACTGTTTTCTTGACATTACCAAGACAATTAGCAACACAAGTTAGTGATGCAATATCATTGCACCCCATCTAGAAATCTCACATATTCTAGCAGCACAGCATTATCCTACATGTAATTAGCTTCTTCAAAACAAATACATGCACCAGAATCCTATATGTGTACTAGGTAGCACAGTAATGTTGCTATACAGTGAATTCTAGCAAGATACACCTCTTTGTGGAAATACCACTTTCTGTTAAGCAGCTGCTGGGATAGATTGGGGCCCATCCTCTGAATTCAGCTGCCTAACGTTTTTACCTCTTCCCATGAACAATTTCCAGCATAACAGGCAGAAAAAGGACCCCTTTCACAAATCCCCCTCACACCAGGAACATCGTGCAGTCACTTCCTGATTGACAGGGGAATGGGCCCCTGTCAATTGCAGCAGTTGCTTACCAGTTAGGGAGGTAATGGGAACTTCCACAGTCCCTGCATAGTCCTTAAACGATGGGATGTGTAGGGATTGTGAATGTGTGCCAGTTGTAAATCTGTAATTGATGGTTATGGGTTCTCAATTACCCAAAAGGATTCTGGCCAGTCTCTTCTGTATAACAAGTTCAATAAAGTATTGTGCATTCAGGCCTTTAGAAAGGCACAATGGTTTTCTCCCAAGTTTCAGAGTTCACATTTTAAAACCTTTCTTGTCATGACAGAGCTTAGACTAATACAACTTTTCTTTGCAATGTTAGGGGGAAATCATCCTGTGTAGGAACAGGAAGCAATTGTAGTCACCACTATATGAAGAATCAAATTTCTTCAGATAATCAGAGAAAACTTGCTTGTTTGAGAGGCACAGTCATAGTAGCCATAGTAATTCCACACAAATTATGTGGAAATTATATGGTACAATTTCAGAGGATGAAAAGAAGGGACCATAAGCAGGAAAGTGGGAAGGAGAAGGACACATTGTGTAAAGGAGAATGGCTTAAACTCGTACTTCGTTTCAGAAGATACACATGACAAGGTTTCACTTAATGCAAATTCTTCTGTACACACGAACACAATTCTTTGGTCCCAGTCTCTGCAGCTGCAGCATTGCTGATTTTTGGTTTCAACTGTAGATCATGAATACTTTGGGTTTCCCATCATCCTTGATACTGTTGCTATCCATTTCTATTAGGATGTCCTTGTCATCCCTAATTATTGGAGCCTCGTCAGTATTCTGAAGAGTTTGTGGTAGGTTTCTCAAGCTGAAGTCCATGTCTTTAAAAGCATGGAGTAAAAACACTCCTAAAATAATGGTGAGGAATCCACATATGGTCCCAATAATGTCCACCGCAGACATGGTGACCCATTCCTTAAAGAGGATGACTGATGTGGTGATTACTATGGTGGTAAACAGCACATAGTAGATGGGGAAAACCATGGAGGTGTTGAAAATGTCAAGAGCCTTATTGAGGTAGTTGATCTGTGTGGTAATAGAGGCCACTAATGTAAAGACAAGAATCCAGGTCAGGGGGTGGTAAAGAACAGGCTGGTGAGCAAAAAACTCCTTGATGGCAATGCCAAGTCCTTTGACTGAAGACACAGAGAAAGCCCCAATCACAGAGCAGATGATGAGGTACACAAGAATATTGGTCTGTCCATAGCGTGGAGCTAGGAAGAAAATAAAAACTAGGCAAATCACCAAGAGAAGGCCAGCATAAACTAGGAAACCTGGAAGACATTAAAACAAGAGGAAGTGAGAGTTAAATCACACTGGAATCTTAGGGATGGAGTACTTGCTTGGCACTAATACACTTTATTTATATTCAGCTCTATCTCCCTGAGGGGACTCGAAGTGGATCACAACATACACAGATAGACCAACGTTCAATGTCTTTTAACAGAATGGAATAACAATGACATACAAATACACAGAACAAAGGCAAAGGCTTCCCCTTTCATCTCCAGCTTTCTGGAGGCGGTTCTCAACTCTGGCAATGGGGAGGTGCTTTTGTTCCATTTTCAAGCTGAAGAGCCTGTTGTCCGAAGACAGCTCCTGGTTGTGTTGCCAGAATGGCTGGATGGGTGCCTTTATTACCTTCCCACCAAAGCAGTACCTTATTGATCTACTCACATTTGCATGTTTTCAAACTGCTAGGTTGGCAGGAGTTAGGGCTTACAGCGGGAGCTCACCCCAACCTATGGCTTTGAACTGCCAACCTTTAGGTCAGCAGATTCAACAGTTCACTGTTTAACCCATTGCACCCCTAGTCCCACTAGAGTACTGGTTCTCAACCTGTGGGTTCCCAGGTGTTTTGGCCTAAAACTCCCAGAAATCCTAGCCAGTTTACCAGCTGTTAGGATTTTTGGGAGTTGAAGGTCAAAACATCTGGGGACCCACTGGCTGAGAATCACTGCACTAGAGACTTAACTTTTGTAGAAGTAATTTTTTGACAACCACTGGAGGTGCTCCAAGACATACTGAAGCCAGAGCCAATGCAAAATATGACATTCCCTCCATTCCTATACAAACGTTGACTGGAGTGGCAGCAGGGGTACAGTACAACTGGGGATATGGAGAAGATGAGACGGTTACTTCTCCCAAATAAGAAGCCTGCCTTTCCAAATGGTTTTCCCCCTCAGTCCCCACATTCAAACCTTCAGTTGAATATTCAGAATTATAGGATGAGAACCTGCACCATCAGTTAAAAGTACGATGACACAACTCAGTCATCATATTTATGTCTGCTAATGCCAAACACACAAACCTCCTGTTTCAGCCTGACAGCACCCCAACCCAAGAGGTCCTGGAGAACTCCAGATTAGGGTGCTGGGAAAATACATCTGCAGTGCTCTCCAGGTCACATCAAAAAGGCAGTTGGAGATATTTTTTGGGATCCTACTGCAACAGTTTGTCTCAATGTATTCTGTGACTGTGAGAGTGTTGCAGACATCATTTAATAGTGCTATCACTGGCAGCTCCTCAGAAATGCATCATTTGGGACACTTGTCCTTATCCATTACCATACACAGTCTGAAGTACCCATCCCGCTATGCCCAGGCTTCACAGCTATAATTAGACCATCATCCCATTTGTATTCCAGACAAATAATAGTTTGTACAACACGATGTCACTTTTAAACAACCAAAGTTGCTTTGCCATTGATTACCTGGCTCTTTCAGTTTAGAAGCTATTTCATCTAGAGTGGAGACTTCTTCTTCCTCTGGAGCATGGATCACCAGCACTGTACTACCCACAATGCTCAGCATGCAACCTAATTTGCCCAGCAGGTTGAGACGCTCTCCAAGTAGATAGGAAGACAAAATGGCACTGTGTGTGAAAGGAAAATAAACCAAGAAAAGATATTTGAGATAATGCACTTAGGAAAAAAATAACTTGGACCAGAATGTCAAGGCTTGTCTGATTAAGTTTAGATTTACAAAAAATATTTCAAAGACAAAAGTGGTATTTATATATTCTGTATCTGATCCTGGTTCTTCTTGGAGAAAAGCAGCCTAGCCCCATCTATACAGCCCACATAAAGTGGGATAAAAATGGATTAGCCTAATGCATCCAGATGATGTTTCAGGTCAATCCATTTCAACCTGGAATTATCCAGGTTTAAAAGATATCTGAAATTATTGAAAAATCTGGACATGGAGGCAGTTTCTCCTAGGATCGCCACTCAGGTTCCAAGCAGGCAGCCCCCACAGCTACCCCTCCTCCCCAGGCTCAGGCAGCCTGAGAACCCTTTTGCACAGCTGTATAACCCAGACTATCAAGACAAGTAGTCCAAAATATCAGCTTTGAACTGGATTATCTGAGTCCACACTGCATATAAATGTCACAAATCTATATAAATAAAATGTAATGTTCATTTGTGGGATTAACAGAACTCAAAAACCACTGGACGAATTGACACCAAATTTGGACACAAGAAACCTGTATGTCCTTCACTCAAAAAATTGATTTTGTCATTTGGGAGTAGTAGTTGCTGGGATTTATAGTTCACCTACAATCACAGAGCATTCTGAACCCCACCAATGGTAGAATTGGGCCAAATCTCCCACACAGAACCCCCATGTGGGCCACAGTAACACATGGCAGGGGACGGCTAGTAAATAAATACAATAAATATCAGTTCAATGTGCATTTTATACAGCTGTGTGGAAGGGGCCTGAGGAGGAAGGTTGACAATGCCAGCCTCCCCTCCCTGTGCCCCAGAATTTCCCCAAAGCCCATTAGTTTCATTTTCTAGCCCCAGGAAGATAAGGTAAACCTTGTGGCTCCTACTGACTCCTTTCTTTTGTTTTTAGGGACCAAACGTTTGGCAAGAAGAGGACAATCTCTGTGTCCACCCCTGCTGGTTTTCTTTGCATTTGGGCCGGTGTAGAAGGGCCCTATAATAATGTTCTATTTCAATGAAAAGAGGGCTATCATTATTTAGCAGAAAAATATGTTAAACAATGAGTTTCTACTTTTTCAAGGAATGAGTTGACCCCATGTCCAACATAACTGCTAAGATTCGCTTTGTGAAAACCTACAAGAAACCTAGTTGACTCTATATAAGGACAGTGTTATCAAACTATTTGTTCTGCTTGCAGGCAAATCAGCTGGAGATGTGTATATATTGGAATAAATATAGGAGGCCAGAGTTGAAATGAAAGGCAGTCACCTTATGAGTACGCTCAAGGCTCCAAGTGGAGTAACAATTGTTGCAGGTGCAAAGGCATAGGCAGCAAAGTTGGCAGCTTCTCCTCCGCCCACTGAGTAAATACACACAGGGTAAACAAAGAACAGGGGGATTATAAGAAATAGTATTCATGTGCAAATCTTTTTTGCTAGTTTTGTTTGCATTTAAGGCTGCATTCAAGTAGTATACCAAACCTTGAACAGCTCAGGGTATATAAAGACTGCCTGCCCCATGACTGATCTATCTAAGATTTAGGATCAGCTGGGGCAACTGTGACTGAGGACAGCAGAACAGCATGACTACATGGCAGGGACTTTTTTTCTGGTAGTACCTTGATTATGGATCTCTTTTCTACTAGAGATCCAGTAGTTCTCTTCCCCTTCCCATATTTTAGCTAACCTAAACTCTGTTGAGGAGCAGCTGGATATAAATAAAACAAACAACCATCTTCAATTAACAAAGTATTGCTCCCCTCCCTGAAAGCAAAAAAATGTATTGAGTTCAATTATATAACCATTAGCTGCCTCTTATATCCAAAATGTGCTGTCTGTGGCAACTTCCACACTGCTGAACTGCAGAGCTGGATCTTCAGGGACCACAAGAGCCCCAACTAGATGGGAATGTCTCTACATAGTAACTGTAGTTTACAGAGCAGCAGTCAGCAGACTGGTAAGCAGTGAAAGTGTCTCATTTCTCATCAAGCATAAATCAGACAACTGTGGAATAGTCAAACTTACTTGTGAGTAAACCAGCCCACCACAACCAGTCCCGTAGGTAGCCATGACCTCCATCCCCTGGGAAAGCAAAAGACAACATGTGCTTAGAGACTAACATATGTGAAGAGACTCACATTGTTCATGATAAAACAGAAACAAATAGCTAGATAACAGTATGACCAGTTGGCAAAAATACACACACACACACCCCTCTAAAAGCACTGGCTAAGCAAATCAATGGACTTAAATGGAAGTCTCCCTTCTATGAAATGCTTGAGACTAGAAGTGTTTAAATTTTCTTTTGATTTTGAAAGACTTGGATATCTTGGAACCCAAGTCTAAACACAAAATTAATGATTTGTTTCATATACACCTTGAACACATAGCCTGAAGGTAATTTCATATAGACTATTTTAAATAATTTTGTGCATGAACCATCAAAAAGTATAGTTGTCACTATCTCAGCCACTCATGAAGATGATTTCAGATTCTGGAGGATTCTGGGATTCTGGATAAGGGATGTTCAATGTGTCTAAACAAATCAAAGGTATTTTCAGCTGGGGAAGAGCTAATGGAATATGACAACTATGACAGAGAGTTGCCTAAATCTCAATGGTTAGTCTCAACTAGAGTAGACCACTTAATCAATAACTAAACAGAGAATCAACACATAGGCAAATCCCATTAATTCAACAGGTGTACTTTGGTTTGGATTAAAAATATGATTCAGGCCAAAACATCCCTGTTTAGAAATGGATATTTCACAACACATCACAAGGAAAATGTAAAAATTTATAGTGTGGAAACACTGAGATTATCATCAGCTGCATGTAATAATTCCATTCAAAGCTTTGTTTAGGAGCAAGAAAAATTGAAGATTGGAAATACGTAGTGGCAGAACAGGAAATGCTAGCTATTTACGAGTGTCTGACTAACAAGAATGTATGCGCGAGGCACCAAGATACAATGGCAAGAAACCAAGTATGAATGCCTAGCTGGAGAGATTAGATGGGTATCATACTGAGAAGTAGACTGTTCTTTAGCTGTGTAAGAGTAACCACACCTATATATGTACTAGTTTAGGGTTTTCCTTCTTTTCAGCTTGGATAGTAAAGATTTCACTAAGGAAATCTTCCCCAATTTAGTACTCTTTTGACTAACCCATCCTCAAGATTGAGCAATCTTTCCCAAAGACTGGATTGGCTGGATTAATCAATTTTTCCAGACCTGGGTCCTGGCTGACTCAAAGCAAGCATGGGGAGATTAGGGAAAGGGTGAGAATAATGTGCCTCTTCAAATGTGGTTGGATTGCAATCCCTATTAGATCTATCCAGTATAGCCAATGGTGAAGCGTGCTAGAATCTGCAGTCCAACAACTCCATGAGTCTCATTCTTGTCTTAAGGTTAAATCTGGCATTACTTTTACTGAAAACGGCCTCATTGGAGTGAATTGATTTGTTAAATCACAACTAAATGAGATAAAGAATGTATATCTTTGTGTATAACCAGACATTAGGTCCTCCATATTAGCTGGGATTTGGTTCCAGGGCACCATCATGGGCTCCCAAAACTGTGGATGCTCAGGTTCGATTATATATAACAACGTAGAAAAATGTCATCTCTGATATAAAATGGCAAAATTGAGGTTGAAGCTGTGGATACGGAGAGTTGTCTGTACTGGTGCTGAGACAATAACCTACATTGCATCTGAGGGCAGGGTATGTCACATATATCTCTCAATTCCTCAAAAGAAGTGAATTATAAGACCCTGAGGAACAACATACAGAAAGTATCCATTGCTAACCATAGGATCAGCCACATGAGGTAGGTGCCACTTATCCTGAAGACTTTACGAGTCTGCCATAAGTCTGGCAGGAGACAACTGATGGCTCCTTCCACCTGCCAAGCCAATGAAATCATACCAGCTCTAGTGCCTCCTTTCTCCACCAGCCGGCACAGTCCTTTCTTCTTCAAGATGATGCTGCTGCCAATGAGGAAGCTGGAGAGGATGGCCAAGGCCAGACCAATGTAGAAGCCATATTTGTCCTCTATCTGCACAGTTTGGTCAGTGTGTAAACTGAGATTCTTGGAGGATGAGGACGTGGAGCTGCTATTCTCGATGACCTGACAAACAACCTGACGAGACAAGCAAGTCAAGGTGAACACGGAACCTGGGAAAACAAGAAGATTAGGGGTGGGGTGGAGAAAGACAACAAGGGTTTTAATGGATAGTACAGGTCACTTCTCACAATTGCAGTATCTGTTTTCTTTACTTATTCAGTGTATGTCTGCATCCTCTAAAAATGTGACTTTCAGTGTTTCAAAACAGACAGTTGTTTTGAAACTTGTAAAAGGTTTCAAAACAACAAAATGTGAACAATTACAAAATCTATAAAGTGTGAATGTGCAATGGTTGTTACAACATTTCCCCATTTCTGCTTCTTTTACTAAAACAAACTAAAATGTACAAGGAATGACTGCTCCATATGACTTTGAAGAAGTATATTTCCCTACCTCTTGGAAGGGAAATACACTTCTGAAAGAGTTAACATGGGAAAACGGTGTATGCACGGAAGCTTTATCACCAATCTGCTTCCACAACAAGCCATTTTTTCAAAATCCAATTATCACAGGGACAGAAAGTGAGATGAAATCTTCATAACAGGGGCACAGACAGCAAAACAAACACCAGAGGGGTGTTACCCTTCCCTATGCTATCCAAAGCTATATATATATATATATATATATATATATATATATATATATATATATGGCTGAAGTTACACCTAAAAAGATGTACATGTTCCAACTTAAGTGCAGATGCAACTTAAGAATAAACCTACAGAACGTATCTTCTTTGTAACTTGGAGACTACTTGTAATCATGAAATGAATAAAGGCACAGTATTCTACAAGCAAAAAGCTGACATTCTTATGTATCTCAATTATCTATATGCTTCTCAAATGAATCAGCTGTCTTAGGGTGCATCTATACTGTAGAATTAATGCAGTTTGATATCACTTTAACTGCCATAGATCAATGCTATGGGAATCAGTAGTTTGGTGAAGTACCAACACTTTTTGCCAAAACTTGTAAAACTACAGCTCCCATGATTCCATAACATTGAGCCATAGCAGTTAAAGTAGTGTCAAAAGGCATTAACTCTATAGCATACACCCCTACTGATTTGAAGGGAGTGATTTTACTATGGGCATGTCTCAGTTGACAAAATATCTGACTCTGAAAAAAGAGACTTTTTTTACAGAGTCTTTACCTGCCTGCCCAGTTTCTCCCCTTTCTTCCTTATCCTATGTCTAGTGGAAGATTTCTAGCAGCATTGGCACCATGAGGATAGTGAAAAGGAGCTGGAGAAACACAGGTATTTGATGTTGGATTGCAGCAGCTGTTCTGCAGTAAACAATGCAGCAAACCCTGAGCCAGGAAAGAATGAGATTCTGTTTTAGACAATCCTAGTGCATCTGTGTATGTCTGCCCACAATAGGCAAGGTGAACAGCAGCTGCACCCAGCATCCCATAGTATGTGTGAACAATACAATGAGAAAAAGGAGAGCAAATAAGCATGCATCACTAGATGTCCCCAACATGTTCAAATGTATAGATCTATAAGTTCTGCCATCAAAATAGAAATCATAAGAAAAGTGGAAGCTGGTGAAAAAAAAATCTAGATCCATTTTGGTAGGAGCTTAAGGATTAGTGTAGTCTCTAGAAGGTTCACAGTGTGTTTGTTTCTTTAGAGGAGGTTTACTTGATCTAATTGTTTTGGTTTACATTTGTATAGTGTTAGTTTTGGAGGGAAATGTTTTCAATTGCTTTACTATTCTTGTTTGTTGTTGTTTTGTTTTGATTTGTTTTGCAGCCACCAGTCTCTAATTTTTCCATGTTATTTCTGAATCGTACCATTTTTTTTGTTAAAGAAGTAAATTAAATAAATATATTTACACTGTGTCAAAGGAAAATATCACCAGAAACAGGCCCGTAGCCAGGATTTCGTTTCGGGGGGGGGGGGGGATTTTTTGGGGGGGGGCTGAATTTTTTCAGGGGGGGTTCGGGGGGGGCTGAGTTTCGGGGGGGGGGTGAGTCTGAATGAAAGAGGGTCTAGCCTAGCAAACCTTTTGTATCATTACCCCAATACCCCCATGCATATGGTGATCAGATATTGATATGATAAACATAACAGTTTAAATAATGCACCAGTAAGGCCTTTCGTGAACCACCATGAGAATTTCGGGGGGGGGGGGGTGAAACCCCTCAAGCCCCCCCCCCCCCGGCTACATGCCTGACCAGAAACCAAATTTATAAATAAGGCTGAAAAGCATATTAAAAGCGGTATGAAATAACTCAACCCATGTTTCATCTTAAGGAGAGCAATCTCTTTTCTTAACAAATGTTGACATCACTGCCTTTAATGCCTGCATAGCAATGGCAAATTCAACAAGTAATGCTTTTTCTGGTCACTGAATGGGAATTTGCATCTGGAAGGCAAAAAAAAAGGATCTTTCAGAAAGCGAAGAGGCATTGTATCATCTTAAAGAGGCAAGCATCTTAGAGCAATATTTTTCAAGACAAAAATGCTGTTGCTTGCTCAACTGGAAACTCAACCAGATAAACTTTTTCCAGCAAAGGGCACAGGGATTTTTCTCCGTCATGCACCTATTAAACAGCAGAGAGCCTCTAAATGTGTATTTCATGCTGGGAAAAGCTAGATAGTTTGAATATCCAGATGAGAAACAGCTTATCTGTCATGAAGAAACAGTTGCAACTCTACTTGTATGCCTCTCCAAGAAGGTAAAAATGACCCCTTTGTTTTCTGATAATCCAGTGAGACCTTGCTGAGAGCTAAGCAACAATGTTACAAGAAAATTACATATGGTACATGAGATAATATTTTTGAATTCTCCTCTATAAGGGATAGCATGGAAATCATTAAAGGAATGAATAAATACACGGGCAGAATGCTTTATTTCTTGCAAAGGCCTCAATCTAAGTCCCATCTACAACAGACCATTTTTGTGTGTGTGTCAGGAATGACTTTTGAGAAACTGCAAGTCGCTTCTAGTGTGAGAGAATTGGCCGGCTGCAAGGACGCTGCCCAGGGGATGCCCGGATGTTTGATGTTTTACCATCCTTGTTATAGGCTTCTCTCATGTCCCTGCACGACGAGCTGGAGTTGACAGAGAGAGCTCATCCACACTCTCCCTGGATTTGAGCCTCAGACCTGTCAGTCTTCAGTCCTGTCGGAACAAGGGTTTAACTCACTGAGCTAATGTGGGCTCCTAAACAGGCTGATTAAATCAATAGGATTTACTTATGTACCGATCCACCAGAACCACTAATTCAAAATAATTTAGAATAATTATAGTTGGTGCTATCAATGGCATCCAGATCTGTTGTATGGTGTGTTGTATCATATAAAAACACTCATGCATGAGTTGCTTTAGTAATACTTCCTAGTCTTACATAGTAAACCTCAACCATGCAAAGCATACAACTGGAAAAACAAGATCTATCTGTATTCAGGGATACAGAAAAAATCAATCAACTTCCCCTATTTTTAGCAAGACCCCAAAGAGTATAATAAAGACTTTGTAAAATTACAACTCCCATGATTCCATAGCAATTAAAGTGGTGTCAGACTGCATTAATTCAACAGTGTAAGTCTTGTTGGTTTACTTTGTGGAAATGCAAAACATGCCACGTGAACAACAGTTAAAATCAGTTAACTAACCTATACACCAAATGCCAATGCAAAATAATGGAAATGAGTCCACATGCCTGATTGAGAATCAGAAAGCAATAAAAGGGAAGTCATTATGATTATGGAAATGGAACAGAATAATAGACTAACTCATATTTACTCTGATCAAACATCTTAGCAAGATGATTTATGTGCAATTATTTATAATAAGAAAAAAGTTACACGTCACGTTATATCAAAGATAAGGCATTGTTAATGTTTACAACTAAAGGTGTGTCAACTAGTGCAGGGAGTGGAAGGGGGAGGACACTGATGAGCTTCTACATTTCTCACACCCAAGATAATGATCCATTTATAGCTCATTACAGGAGAGATAGCAATTACTTCAAAGTCTTTAAGATGCTAGAGTTATGCTGATTTAATGAGTGGTTTGAAATTTGGGTTGCTAATGACTGAGCTTAAGCAACTGCCAAAATTAATAAGAATAGGTCAGGAGTGGATAAAAGTTGTGTTGTCAAAGGCTTTCATGGCTAGAAACACTGGGTTGCTGTAAGTTTTCCGGGCTATCTGGCCATGTTCCAGAAGCATTCTCTTCTAATGTTTCACCCACAATTATGGCAGACATTCTCAGAGGTTGTGAGGTCTGTTGGAAATTAGCCATTGAAATCCACAAGCATGTGGACAATTTCAACAGAAAGGAGGAAACCATGAAAATGAACAAAATCTGGCTACCAGTATTTAAAAAAACCTCTAAAATCAAGACAGTAAATAAAGAACAACACTTAAAACTGGGGGAATTCCAGACAGGAAACAATCAGGATCAGCTAATACCTCCAACATAGGATTCATCCAGACAGGAAACAGCCAGGCTTTGAAGCTGCAAGGCCATTCACTGCCAATCAAGGTGGCTAATTGCAGCATTCTCACTCACCTCAAACAGACAAGTGTTCTTTCTCCCACCCTGGACAATCCACAGATATATAAATCTCATTTGCCAAGTTTCCAACAGACCTCACAATCTCAGAATGCGTGCCAGAGATGTGGGTGAAATGTCAGGAGAGAATGCTTCTGGAACATGGCCATACAATCCAGAAAACTCACAGCCAGGCCCGTAGCCAGAATTTCGATTCGGGGGGGGGGGGCTGGGTTTTTTTCAGGGGGTGGGGGGGGCTGAGTTTCAGGGGGGCCGAGTCTGAGTGAAAGAGGGTCTAGCCTAGCAAACCTTTTGTATCGTTACCCCAATACCCCCATGCATATGGGATATATTGAGTATGGTGATCAGATCATGATATGAATAAACATAACAGTTTAAATAAAGCACCAGTAAGGCCTTTTCGCGAACTACCATGAGAATTGAGAACATGCCTGCTCACAGCAATCCAATGTATAAAGGTTTTTAAGATTAAATGGCCCTTACAGTGTAATAGCCCAGAGATTCATATTTCCTTATGTTTTCCTCAACTATCTAAAGCAGGTTGGTGACTCTAAGATTCACCATGGCTCAACCCTAAAAAGATGCTTGTCAGGCACCTTTATGGTTAGCTTTCAGGATGGAAGTGAAAGTCTATTAGGTCAGATCCAGAGAATGGCAAGTATAGAGAAAGGTTTTCCTGGTTCTTTCCTACATTCGCTACTTTCTCTAGATATCCCTGGGTGTCATGTGATCAGAAAGTCATTCCCAATCACTGGGGACGCAGGTGGGTCTATCTTACACAAACAGAGGTGTTTATTTACTTGAGTGAGACATCCAAACCACAGATCCAAGATTCTTATTTCACAAAGTATTTAGACGTGGAGAGGAAGATGTTTTTCATTCTTTGTTCCTGTTTGTTTCCACATTTTAAGTCATATATTGCATCATAGATCATGCAGCTGTGGAACTGCATTGTCATGCATGCAAACACAAACTCTTATGACATGGGAACTTTGGAAAGTCAGATGCCAATTGAGCACACTCTGTTGGCTGCATCTGTGTGAATGTAGGATGGCAGGGTTATATCAGATCTTCTGAGAAAACAAGAAACATCAAATCTATCTACTGATTCCCCCCCCCCCCCCTCAAACACAGATCTGCAGCTAAACAGCAAAAACAGGAATGCAAATGTGGCAGGCTGCTTAGACCCTGGCACTTTGCCTGATACAGGCCAGCCTTTGTGAACCAGAAAACAACAAGTGAATTCTTATCTCCATGACAGGGACAATACCCTAATGTCATACAAAAGCTAGCCTTTTCCACCCTTTGCCATTGACAATGCCTCCACCATCCTCGAAAGCAAAGGTTTCCTCATAAGAAAGGAGGAATGTGGGCACCAGTCATACTGATTTATTATCTCCAATTCTGCTATATTCCATGGGGAGAAAGTCACAAAATTCAAAGTCCTTTGAAGGGACTGGGGCCATCATCACAGCAGAAAAAGACTGGGTGACATGGGTGAATCCTGAGATAACAGAATGGACTGTATCACTCTAGGCTAGATGTAGAACACTTCAATTTAATACTGCATGTAAGGCCTCTCAATAATAGGATCACCATAAGTTGAAGCCAACTTGACAGTAGTTAACGACATGTAAAAAAATGTACCCTGAATAGCTCTGAAAACAGAAATCAGAGATGCATTTTCTCACTGATGTGCAAATCAGTTTGTTTTTACTTCTTAATTTATTATACAAGATGCAAAAAAAAAAAAGGGGGGGGGGAAAGAATTATGAGATAGGGCAAATCCTTCAGGGCTTTCCCAGAAGTGGAAGAGCCAAACTCTTTTCCCTTGTTTCTTGCCATCCGGCCCAATTTTGGGATGTGGAGGGAAGCTACAATGCCAGAACGTCCACGTAACACAGCCATAGCTAATTCTGGGAGTTGTATCCCCCCCCCTCCAAATCAAGCAATTCTCCAGACTTGGAGCCAGTCTTTACAGAGTACAGTGAAAGGGAAGAAGTGTTGACTTTATGATCACCTCTCCTTGCCAAGAGCTGCTTTCCCTTCAAAATAAAAGCTGAAACAGTGGTTTGAAAGTTAGACTACGCCTCTGGAAAATAGGGTTCAACCCCCCACTCAGCCATGAAAACCCACTTTGTTTTTTTAAATTGTGCCTGAAGCAAATTGAGAATACAGTAATAAAAAACCACTAACAAAGTTAAAAACTTCGCATTGTGCTAGATTTCCTTTGACCAGAAGCTTGCCACTTGGTGCCACTTGCCTCTGGTGCCACTGGAAGAAGGTCCTTTGTGCATGTGGCAGACTGCATTGTAGTAAGTGGTCTGTGGTTTGCTCTTCTCCACACTCGCATGTCATGGACTTCATTTTGTAGCCCCATTTCTGAAGATTGGTTCTGCATTTCATGATACCAGAGCGCAGTCTGTTCAGTGCCTTTCAAGTCACCCAGTCTTCTGTGTGCTCAAGAGAGAGTTTCTCATCTGGTATCAGCCATTGATCGAAGTTCTGGGTTTTAGCCTGCTACTTTTGGTCTCTCACTTGCTGAGGTGTTCCTGCGAGTTTCTCTGTAGATCTTAGGAAGCTGTTTCTTGATTTAAGTTGTTGGCATGCTGGTTGATATCTGAACTGAGGCTGGGCCAGAGATATCACTGCCTTGGTCGATTCCTGGCTCCTACTTCCTGGCGGATGTCATGTGGTGCAATACCAGCAAAACAGTATAATTTCTCCAGTGATATAGGGTGTAGACATCCTGTGATAATGCGACATGTCTCATTAAGAGCTACATCCACTGTTTTAACATGGTAAGATGTGTTTCACACTGGGCATGCGTATTCAGCAGCAGAGTAACAAAGTGCAAGGGCAGATGCCTTCACTGTGTCTGGTTGTGATCTCCAGGTTTTGCCAGTCAGCTTTAATATAATGTTATTTCTAGCACCCACTTTTTGCTTGATAGTCAAGCAGTGCTTCTTGTTCACTGGTTGATATTGGGTAAGTCACACATTCTCAGTCCCAGAAAACTCTGTGATTGTTTTGCCTCAGGGCGCTATAAGTTGGAAAGGTCTTGAGGGCACACAACAATAACAATGAGAGAACTCTTTTCATATACTTGTTTTATCTCATATTAAATTTATCCCAGTTAATGTTCCAGTATGGGAAAAAGTCGGCATGTAATCCAAGCCATGGATGGGTGGGTGTAAGCTTGATAAGCATGAGTGAGAGGAAACCTTGGTAGATCCCTCACCAGACTTTTCTTGATTTCTGTGTTTAGACTCAAGATGAAACCCCAGCTCCCCTACAATACCCTTTGCTTTGTCCTTCTGTGCCATTATCAGCAAGGTTGCCTGCAAGGACAACAGCATACATTCCTCCCCAGGTCCTGGAAGCCATTGTGCTTTAAACATAACACAAAAGAGGAGGAGTGCTGGACAGCAAAACATTAAGACATCGCGCCCATCTATTTCTCCTTAACGGACTTTCCACTTTCCTACCCTTACCCCCGTGGTGCAGCTGGTTAAACCACTGAGCTGTTGAACTTGCTGACCAAAAGGTTGGCAGTTCATATCCGTGGAGTGGCGTGAGCTCCTGCTATTAACCCCAGCTTCTGCCACCCTAGCAGTCTGAAAACATGCAAATATGTGTAGATCAATAGGTACCGCTCCAGCTTAATGTCAAGGGGAAACTTTTACCTTTACTACCCTTCCTTCTGGCATGACTTCAGGATCAAATCCACTCCTCGCCCATTGTGACCTTCTTGTGCCAAATATAAGGGTGAAGGGGGAAAGGGACCTCCTGGCCAAACTGGGGGCCCTTCCACACAAATCCACATTGAACTGGAGTGTGTGGCAGTGTGGACTTAGATAACCCAGTTCAAAGCAGATATTGAGGATTGTCTGCCTTGATGTCCTGGATTAATCTGGCTGTGTGGAAGGGCCCAAGGGGGTCTCCCAGGGGAGAAAGTGCGAGCTTCCCTCTCTTCTCCTTCCTTCCAAGCTCACAGAAACCCATTGTGATGTGCAGACTTGCCTGGGAGAAACGTTACTAGCCACCTAGGCTGAGTTACTCTGGCAACAACAACAGCACCAGCAACCGCCTCCCACTCAAACAGATTGGGGAGACTTTTCGAGGAGGCAGGGGCCAACTTGGACCACCGAGATGTTTTGGACTCCAGCCCCCAGCATTCCTCGCAGCCCCAGGCCCCTTCCTTTCCCCCCTCAGCCCCTTAAGCCGGTGGCTGTTAGGAATGGTAGGAGTTGGAGCCCAAAACACCTGGAGGGAGGGAGGGAGGGAGGGCCCAAGTTGGCCCAGGCCTGCTCTAACCCGTTCTCTCCGACTGCCTTCCTTCCCCTCCCAAGGCGCGACTTCCCTGCCGGCCCCTCTCCAAAAGCCACGCCAAGACCCGAGACTTTTGGCGGGCTTTGGACTGGGGCGCCCGCTCCTTGGCTGGCCCCTTGGGGGAGTCCGAAGGGTCCTTCCCGCCTCTGCCCGGCTCCCGTCTCTCTCTCCCCGTCTCCCCAGGCAGGCCATGATCCTCGGCTCACCGTGGGCGCAGCTCCGGTTGACCCACAGCGGCTCCATTGGCGTCCTCTTCTCCGCCGGGGCTCAGTCAGAGCATCACCAAACAACAGCCGCGGCGGCAGCAGCAGGTGGAAGGAAGGGAGAGGGGAGCGTCCGCGCCCGGCTTGTGGCTTGTGGCGTGTGGGGCGCCGGTCCCGATGTGCGAGGCGCAGCCGGCTCCCTGCCTTGGCCGCCGCCGCCTCCTGGCCTGCTCTGGTCCGTCTGCCTCCGTCAGCTGCGGGAGGGGAAGCAGGCGCGCCTCGCCTTCACCTGGGCTGGGCTGGAAAGGGGCCCCCGCCAGACACGCCTCCTCCTCCTCCCCCTCCTCCTCCTCCTCCTCCCCCTTTTCTCAAGGTGTCTGTGCGGCTGTTCCTTCAAGACATCTGGCGATGGATGCACTTCTTAGGGCCTCATCACACTTAGATTGAGCACTGTGAGGGCCATCCGCTGCATGGCTGCCAGCCTCCTCCCAGCAGACTCAAATCAAGGGAAAGCTTTCCGAGAACTACCACTCCTCTTGGCGTCCCCCCAGAAACAGCAAGGGAGTCCCTCTGGGCAGCTAAACCAGGAAGTCCCAACTGGATGGCCCCCCATGAGGGTCTTCCTCCAGGGGGCAAACAAAAAATGGGCAACCGGGAAGTGGAGTGGGCAGATCAAAAGACAACCTGGCAAAATGGCACTACCTAAAAGAAACCCACACCTTGTGTGACTGTGGGGCAGAACAGACAACTCCGCCTCTGTATACTTGTCCACTATGTCCTGCCTCATGTACAGAGGAAGAATTGTTGGAGGCTACAGACAATGCCGTTGCTGTTGCCCATTTTGGTCAAAAGATATTTAGCCGCCTGTGCTCCTTCTATTTTTATCAGTTTTATACTGATATGCAATGCTTTTGGTACAAAATAAATAAATCACACTAAAGAATGAATCCACTTTAAATCTGGTTTCTGCCTGCAACAGAATTATGGGGTTTGTAGTTTTGGGAGGAGCCCTTAACTGCCTCCCTATACTACAAACCCCAGAATTGTGCGGGAGGCCAAAACCGGATTTAAAGTGGATTTAATAGTGTGATGAAGGTTTTAGGCAAGGAACCCCCATCTTGTCACTTCATTCTTCTGACATACAGCCTCCGGCAACTGGGACTTCTTGGTAATGTCCCCATCCAAGGACTAACTAGACCCTGTCACTTCATTCATACAGCCTCTGGCAACTAGGACTTTTTTGGTGATCTCCCCATCCAAGGACTAACCAGACCCTGCTGAGCGTTGATTGCGCTTTTCCAGCATGGGAAGGGCTTGGACTAAGCGGCCCTTCTGCTCTCTTCTAACACTACGATTCAGGGATTTCAAGAACAGAGGTGTTCAAGAACAGATCTGGTGTTTTTGGGCTCCCCAAGGATGGGCCCTTGGTATCCGCTGGGCTTTAGATCCACTTTTTGGGAGAACTGGAAAAGGATCAGCTTTACTATACAGGCAGTCTCCAAGTTACAAAAAGATAGGGTTGTAACTGTCTGTTCTTAAGGTGAATTTGTTTGCAAATCAGGACAGGTACATTTATAAGTGTAACTCCAGATATGTATATGTATAGGGTTATTTATTTATTTATTTCACATATTTGTATCCCATCCTTCTCACCCCCTGGAAGGGGGACCCAGAGCAGCTTCACAACAGGCATTCATTCAATGCCAACAACAGTAATAAATGATAAAAGCCATTAAAACACAAAATTACTAAAACATTGTTTAAATCACACAGGTTTGAAATCATAGTTCAGTCGGTCCATTGTCATTCACACAAATTGGGTCTCATTCTAATTTGCTGCCTCTACCATTCAAACAATTGGTCCCATAGCCACATTCTAAAGGACAAGAGTGAGGGGGGCAATCTAATATCACTGGATAGAGAGTTCCACAGGTGAGGGGTCACCACTGAGAAGGTCCTGGCTCTCGTCTCCACTACTCGTGTTTGCAAGGATTGTGGGACCAAGAGCAGGGCCTCTCCCATCCATCTTAGACTTCACGATGGTTCATAGCAGGAGGTACATTCAGACAGGGAAGCTGGGCCAGAACTGTTCAGGGCTTTATAGGCTAAAGCCAGCACTTTGAATTGTGTTCGATAGCAGATTGGCAACCGCTGGGCTAGTTGGAGCTTCCAAGCAGTCTTCAAATGCAACCCCGTGTAGAGTGCATTACAGTAATCTATTCAGGATAGATGGGCCACCATGGCCAAGCCTGACTTCGCAAGGTATGGGAACAACTGGCACACAAGTTTTATTTGTGCAAAAGCTCCCCTAGCCACCACTGAGACCTGGGATCACTCCCGAGCTGTATATGTATATGTATTTATTTATTTATATCCCACTTTTCTCAACCATGAAGGGGACTCAAGGTGGCTTACAGGTAGGCAACAATTTGATGCCTTAACAACAATATAAAATTAAAATAAACATTTCAATTAAATTAAGATCAAAATTGAAATACATTTAAATATTTTTAAAATGTTAGAATTGCGATAAAACCATGCTATCCGCAATCATAATCCAGGTATGTTTATGTGTATATGTACATTGTGAATGGTGTCTCTTACATAAAATTAGGGATTGGTTTAATCTTTTCAAGCTGTAGATGGCTGAATCTGTCCATGGATACCAAGGGCTGATGGCATGTGCAGTGAACTGTTAATATGTCAACGTCAAAGGATGCAGGATACACTCCAAACTGCACAGTCGAAAGCAGGGTGTACATGCACTAAGGTCTATGTGTTTCATTAAATTATCTACCCTGGAGTCTGCTTCTGGTTTAGAAATCCATTTTGTGTTAAATTGAGAACCTCTTTAATTGAAAGGAGCGGGGATTCTGCCCCGACTATTCATTCCATTTCCTCAGCTGCTTTTAAAATGTCCCAGTTTCTCTCTCCCCTTCCCCTTTACACTCAGCTTACTTCAGTTACTGAAAATTGAGTTCAAAGTGCAGAAATAATTTGTACCCTCTCAGTAGGAAGGAAGCTGGAATCTTGCTCTTCCTCACAGGCTCGGTAGAAAGCAACCTCCTGCAGTCTCTCCTCGTTTGTCTGTTTTTCACTTTTTGTCATCTTGACCAAGTTTTGTGTTCCTCGGCCATTCCTCTCCTGGTTTTTATCTCTGAAATGCTGCGGGTATGATCTTTAAACAAATGTGTGGCCTACTGTGCTGAGTTCTAATTTCATTTTTAAATCCGTGGCTGTAATCTTGCATTGGGAGATATAGCTAGAAGAGTCTCCATTCCTTGTCTAGCAGATGGAAAGTATTGTCGAAGGCGTTCATGGTTGGAATCACTGGATTGTTGTATTTTTTTGGGCTATATGTTCTAGAGGCATTCTCTTCTGACGTTTCGCCTGCATCTATGGCAAGCATCCTCACTACCTCTGAGTATGCTAGCCATAGATGCAGGCAAAACGTCAGGAGAGAATGCCTCTAGAACATGGCCGTATAGCCCGAAAAAACATACAACAATCCAGATGGAAAGTATTTATTCTTATAGCTCAGTGGTTCTTAACCTGTGGGCCACGGACCACTGATGGGCCGCAAGGATCTGGTCCACGAGCCTCCTCCCTTTTTATTTTATTTTATTTCCACTCCTTTCATGCTGCCTGCCACTCCTTCCCTGTTGCTGACCAGCCTTGACCCCTTGGATAAAGCACTTCAGCTCTAGATTATTAAACATGGTTTTCTGTGGACTAGCAGATGGTAACTACTGGATGACAAATGTTTTGTGTTAGAAACTAGAGCTGACGTGGTCTATCCAATGCAATTTTCTGAATCAGCACCCCAAATAACTAAACCGAATCTAATGCTGACCAAAAACTGATTCGTAACCCTTTTGGTACTAATGTTGGAGACTGGTCCCTAGTCAAAGTTGTCTCTGGTCAAGTGGTCCCTGTTAAAAAAAAGTTTGGGAACCACTGTTATAGTTGGATGTATGGGGACTTCCAAGGCTCCTCCTCCTCCCTCAGATGGTGTCATTGCTCTCTGGAGTCTGATCAGCTGCTCTTGCCCCAACCAGGAAAGGGTTGGATTTTGGAAGTTACAGCTGAGAAAATGTGAGTTGGGAGGGGATTTTGGCAATTTCACCATTGATAGAGAAATTTAACCTCTGCAATGACTAAAAAAATGAGTTGCAATTGCATAAGCATGCCACCTATGATATTGGAAAATTGCTTACAGGATGCTATCCTATATGCTTAACCCACTGGCATTTTTTTGCTTGCTCTTTGAGATGTTTTATCATTTCTTGTTTAAGTGATTTTTTTCTTTCATTTAAACATGTTAAATTAGGCTTGTCCAAAAATCTATGGTTATTATTTATTGCACTCCTTTTTGAAATTTTGGAATAATGTTGTGTCTGTGTGTGTGTGTGTGTCAGGAGCGACTTGAGAAAATGCAAGTCACTTCTGGTGTGAGAGAACTGGCCATCTGCAAAGATCTTGCTCAGGGGATGGCCAGATGTTTTGGGTTTTACCATCCTTGTGGGAGGATTCTCCCATGCCCCCTCATGGGGAGCTGGAGCTGACAGAGGGAGCTCATCCATGCTCTCCCTGGATTCGAACCTTTGACCTGTTGGTCTACAGCCCTGCCGGAACAAGGGTTTAACCCATTGCTCCATATGATATGGATACAGGTGACTGATAAAAACATCTGTCATTGCACCTTGCACATTATGCTTCTTGAGTAATCCTCTTGGGTGCGGCTATCTGTGCTCGCCTTCAGAAACAAAGAGAAGGTGTGTCATATGTGTAATTCAAGGTTAAGATTGTGCAAAATGTTTGCTTGAGTAAATGTATCCAGGCAGTGACATCAGCATCCAAGTGTAGGACTAGGGTGCAGTAATGATTTTCAGAGTGGCATGTATGATAGTTATCCAGACATAAGCAATAGTTGTACTTAATATGGAGCCATATTCATTGGAAGTGTAGGTTGTCTCCCTGTTCCCCTTCCACCAGCAAGAAAAGATCTTTTTATTTGATTATTTGAACAGGTATTTAGAGATTAAGTGGGTGTGTGGAAAGATCTGCACTTATAGTCATATTTTAAAATGCTTTTATATTGGGCTGTTATGTGTTTTCTGGGCTGTATGGCCATGTTCCAGAAGCATTCTTTCCTGATGTTTTGCTTGCATCTATAGCAGGCATCCTCAGAGGTTGTGAGGACCTCACAATCTCTCAGAATGCCTGCCATAGATGCAACTCCAAAATTCAAGGTCAATGCCCACCAAACCCTTCC